AAGCGTATTGTGATTCCTCTTGGGATCACACGTGGAAAGATTAGATTGTAGTCATTTTTATTTTTTAAATAATGTTAATAATTTTAATAATAAAGTGTCATCTATACTAAAAGCTGTATTTATTTAATACCACTTGATATTTATATTAATAGAGATAAGAATTCAAGTTGGTACTGTTTAGACTTTTATTTTAAACTGTATTACAGCATCGTACACATGCTTAAAAGGGAAGAGAGAAAACACAATGTTTCGGCTGTGAAGTCTTCTTCAGGTGTGAGGGTCAGCTCAAAATGAAACGTTAAAATGTAATATAGGCTCTGAAGGAGCTCAACTTTGATTTGGGCTTGATTGAGGTCACTGCCTTTCATCTGAAATTTAGCTTGAATCCTGCTAAACTAAAAATTAGACACAAGAAGAGAAGAGGCTCTGGTGAAATTTCTCTGTGAACTGAAGAGTTAAAGTGTAAAGTGTCTCCTCCTTTTAACGGGAAGAGACGTGACGCTTTAAACAAGAGAGTGTGGTATTACTTTTTGTCAATGAAAAAGTGTGTGTGTGTTTTTTTTACTCCCTGGCGGAAATGGGCTTCCATAAGAATCAAGTAATAGGTTAATTCCATGCTGAAAAAAAGAAGAAAGAAAACACATTCCATAAGAATCAGTATACTGTAGCTCTGGGAAATTTTTCCTGCATTAAAGTTTAACCCGTCAAGAGCACTCTACATTACAAACTCCAGGTGTTTCACCCTCACACCTGAAGAAGGATTCACAGCCGAAAATCTATTTTTTTATTTCTTTTTTACAAATAAAAAAAATCGTTTGCCCAGCTTAAGAGGGGGGGTTTGCTCTCATTGACAGCTGACACTCCTCCATACACTCAAGTGAAAAATGAATAACGCCAATGTAAATGTTGTATTTACAATTTGTTGATCATAAAAATGTTACGTTCTCTAAAGCTTTCTCAGTCAAGTATGACAGTTTACCCAGGGAGCTGTGAAAGCATGTGTAGGCAGCAAAAGATCAGCTAAACTGGGAAGATGCGACACTGAAGATATTATTAATAACCTACTGGAGCGATTCAGAGGGAAAGTCAGTGACTATTCGTTGTTATTAAAATATGACTTAGATTCGAACATGTTGTGATATTTAGAAATATATAAAAGTCAATTAATTGTACATAATATTGCTATTTTAGTTTTTCAAAGAAATGTTTGTTAAAAGAACATTTGTGGCGCTAGCTGGATTTGAACAGCCAACTTCTCACTTATAAGTCAAGCACTTAAACCATCATGCCACTAGCACAGTCACAGCATCTGGGGGAGAAACAGCCATACACATATCAATAGATATGGTATGTGTACAGTATATAATACTGTTTGTGTTACAGTACATTAATATAATTATATCGTTATTAATTTCTTTAGATACACGGTTCCATATTATATTCCCTATTAATCAAATTCTAAAAGTATTTTACTCCGATATCAAGCGTATTCGCAGAAAAGCTTAAAACTATCACTTTTCTCACAGAGTACTGTATACTGCATAAACGTCCAGTTCAGTAACATGGTCAGAGGGAGCAAGGACCATGTAAAAACGTTTCCAAAATAACCACATGTAAGACTTTGATGCTTAAAATGTTTAGGGAGAAATGGAATACTGGTGTGTATTTTTTCTTTAAAATACCAAGACCAGCAATATACAGTACAGTTTACATACAGTAATATGTTTATCTTTTATGAGCACGTGAAAGGCTTGGTGAATTGGAGATTCTCAAGAATTACTTTGCATGATTGGAAACAAATGCGTGATTGGATCAAGGACATGCTGCGGTGTTACTTTTTGTTAATGAAAAAATAATGTATTTTCATTTGCAAAGACGGTTACAAAGAATCTGGACCAGGCTAATACTTTGAGTTTACAGGTTGTCCAAGGTCATTCATTATTAATACTATTAGTAATATCTTCGGTAAAGATTTTGATGGCGACAGCTCAAACACTGTACATGAGAGGTTGAGCTTTATTAGCTCCACCTGGCGGTAATTCCAGATACTATTATCTTGTTTGCGGTATTATCTGGTATTATGTGAGATTATACAGTATTATACGGTAACCTGGGTTATACTGCGAAAAGCGCACCACATTTTAAAGCGGTATAACCCGCTCATTTTGAATGGCAGCATCTGTATCAATGATTTGTTATTATGACAAGAGTATTTTCCGGTCATATTTGAGTGTATTTGTTAAGTTATATCGAATTATTAGAAGAAAGTTAGTAGCGTGAATCCTCGTGGTTAGCATAAAGGCCATGTATTTGGTATGTTAAATGTGAATGTTTTAGTGATTAACAATTTAGTTAATGTTCGGTAATTGCATTAGTTTATTTCACTGTTCCTGGTTTTCTATATTTATTAATGTTTTTTTTTTATATTAATAACCAAAGTGCTATCGCATTTATATTGCTAGTGAACATTACATTTTTAAAGAAATACTAATGTGGTCTCGCGATATCGCCAATTTCATTGTGTTCTAGTGTTTCGTATTTTTTTTTACTGAAATGTAGAAGGAGAAGACTGAAGAAGACATAATGCAGAATATTTTCTTAATATATAATTAGAAAAATATTAAGAAGCATTTTTGTAACTTTCAGCTTATTTTCTTTGTTATATTGTATTACTGTAAACTGTATATCCTATATAGATTCACACTAAAAGCCAATGATGAGGAAACAATGAGTTGAGTGACTGATTATTTAATAATTTCCCTCTTCAGGGGCGCTACAGATGCAACAAAATAAATGGGAGCCTATATCCCTATCCATAAAATGTACCCTAATTTAGAAAGATTGTTTGTTTCTAACTGAGGTATCTTTTACTCAGGAAACCCAAGTTCCCTAAAAACACAGAATAACATGCTGTAATGAGGTTCAAATACTTAGTTCTAGTCCAGTCTGGTTGGTGATCAAGAAGTAGGGGCTCTCGTCTAGCGCAAGCTTCAAGTCCCAACTCTTCTAGACTCCTCTCTCTTTTCTCTGTTCTCCTTTGTTCTTCCCCCCTCTTTTTTCTCCTGTGCTCTTATGGAGAACTTATACTATGTCTTTCTGCCCTGCTCCTTTGCAATCATTAATCCACAACTTGCTTAGGTATACTAGGATAAACTTTACTATTGATTCTCTCAAGAAACCCCCCAGGCCTCAGCAAACATTATCTCTGCTTTGACTTCCCAGTGTCACAAACTGTATCTAAAATCTAAGAGACACTTCTCAAGTCACCCAAAGCCGTAACAATATATTTCACAGATCCTTAGCAATATATACTGAGATACATATACTCTGTAAATATGCAACAAATAGGTACTGACATAGCATTTGTTGTACAGATGCAGCCATTCAAAATGAGCGGGGTACGCTGCGGTACAACGCGGTAGGCATATCGCATCAAATAATGTCATAACGCGTCATTTCGTGTCATTTTGCGTCATACCGTCCTTTATCGTATGCAATTTATATTATGTTAATAGTATCTGGAATCACCTTGTAAAACCGGCAGGTGAAGCTAATAAAACTTTCATGTACAGCATTTGAGTTGTCACCAGAAAACACTTGGTTTCGAATCCTGATCACTGCTGAAGGACAATCTTTACTCAGTTAAGAATTTAAGTTGTATACTCTTTAGACTTTCAAATTTAAACTGTGTATTACAGCATGTTAATCATTAGACATTAAAAAGTTGGTATATTTTATGAAAGCAAGATTGCTCAGTTGGACAATAGTACACAGCCTACCACCTTTATAATAAATATTTTAATTATGCAGAAATATTTTATTAATCAAAGTCTTTACC